CATAGTGGAATATTGCTCAGCATCAGAAAACCAAAAAATCCAAGTTATTGTTGATTCTCTGTTGTCTGATGGCAAGACCTTCTGATAGTTAAATCAGTCTTAAGATTTTAAGCACATCCAGGATGTGCACTCAGCTTTGCCATTTGCATTATTAATGAGACATGTCAACAATCAGCCTTTTTCCCATAAGTATCAGGTGGCTGGTCCATTTTTTAAATGGCTCATATATGCTTATATGTACCCATCCTTTGTTGTAAACCTCATTTAGCAATTAAAAGGACTACTGAAAAACCAGCTATGAAAAATAGTATAGGAAGTATAATGCCGTTAGCAAAGAACCTAGCTAACTGGGACTTTCCACAATTGCTTCTCCTGGGTTCAAATGACCCATGTCTTGATATGCTCAACACTGAAAAAAGAAGAAGTTTGCCTTAAGAAAGGGGGGAAAACATGCAGGTAGTCCTTGACTTACAACCATTTAGTGAGCGTTCGAAGTTACGACGACACAAAAATTGACTTATGACCAGCATCCCCATGGTCACGTGATCAAAATTCAGAGGCTTGGCAACTGACTCATACTTATGACGGCTGCAGTGTCCTGGGGTCATGTGATCAGCTTTTGAGACCTTTTACAAGCTAAGCCAATGGGGCAGGTAGATTCACTTAATGACCCTGTTACTAAATGAACAATTGAAGTGATTCACTTAACAAACATGGAAAAAAGGTTGTAAAATGGGGCAAAATTCACTTAACAAATGTCTCACTTAGCAACAGAAATTTTGGGCTCAATTGTGGTCATAAGTCGAGGTCTACCTGTGTACATCTATATGGAACAGAGCAAGGAGGTTTTTCAATATGGACGTATGTTTTTCACTTTGAAAGCTTCTCCCCCATTTGCACCTACCGACAATACAGTCATGCCCTAGTAATATCTATTTTTTTGCAGCGTCTTGATGTTGTTGCTTTCCTTTTACACCCAGACCATGAGTAAGATAGGCTTAAGTTCTTCTTAAGTGCATCAGTGTTAAAATAATGTTTTCCTTCTTTTTTCCACACCATCTAAAGATAATTGCAAGTTATATGAAATTTACATTTATGCATTATTTTGGAGGAAAGTGAGGTGGACAGAGCTGAAAGAGCAATCAGTTTTTCTTTCCTGCCAATTCAAGTATGGTCAGATAACACTCAACAGTGTAGAGAGGAAAAAGCTGCATCAGAATTAAATGCTTCAGTGTCAAAATTAACAGTTAGCCTAGCTGGACTACTTTTTAGCCTAAGAATAAGTTCAACAAATTGTTCAACAAGCCATGGGTGTGCACAATATGTGACTGTTTTTCATTAAGTGATTTTTAGGGGGGGGGAAGGAAGAAAAAAAAGAATATTTCCAGTTGATTTTAGAGGCTTAAGTGAATCAACACCTAAACATTTCTACTTCCTGAAACACTAACATAAATCATAGGCCAAACTAATTACATTACCAATTAAAATGTTAAATTAAATATCCTTCAATAACATAAGTCTGTTTTTTGTATATATGCAACTGAACATTTCCATTCATCCCACCAAATGTAACTTTTCAGAATATCAGGCTCAGATTCTAGCAAAACTTGGAAGAAAATAGTATGTTCTATTTTTGGACAACTGTTGAGCCTGACTATAAATGTGGCCTTCTGCCAACGCACATAGCATCATTTGTTTGATAAAATGTATAACCGTAGACAGGCAGTAAATTGTGATGATTTTGCTTTGCTGTATATACACACATCTATTGGAATGGATAGGGCAAATTCATGAGCACGAAGAACCAAAATATACATACAACTTGATTTGCAAGGCCATAGCTCTATTTGGAAAAACTCTGTGAAGTCTGAAAAGGTTCCAAAAATGCCTATAATCCTCCCATTTCAGTAGTGGCTGAGCACAGAATAGGGATAGTGTTTTTGGACTGGCATGTATAACTGCAATTTTACGATTATGCTGTAAATGCTCCCACAAAATGGCTCTTTTGTCACAATGCACCCATTTCCCAGAAGATAGTACAAAGGCAGCCGACCAGAGACGTTGGGAGTCTGTAGTATGCTAATATGAGAAATACATAAATTAACATGATTGTTGGTTTGGAGAATGTTTTTTCTGAGATGCAGATGTACAAGATTTATAAAATAGATACAAGATGTCCAAAATTCCCAGATGTACAAGAGAAGCTATGTTTCAAAATGCCCAGAAGTCAGATGACTGGATCCAATAGTCCCTTCCTGTTCTTTGATTTTGTAGTGCTAATTATTCTGGTATCTAAGATTTTATAGACATAGTAGCCCCACAGCGAGATAGGCAGCTAATACATTTAATAAATAAATAAATTTCCCCATAGCAAAAATCAGTAAGGTGTACAGGTCAGCATGCCAGACAAATTGGAAAATCATCCCTCATCCTCAGTGATGATCACTACAGCCTACATGGCTTTAGTTCTGCACATAAAGAGGAAAACACTCTTCCCACTCCTCATAATCCAGGAAAATATCTGTTGACTTCTACTTCCATGGGAGCTCCCTGTGTAATATCAAACCTAATAAACTGTGAACTCTGTAACGTGCAAGCTGTCTATGCTACAATAGTCCTAAAATGCAGAGGGAAGCAAGAATAGTGAGCAAGAGCAACTTGTCCCCATTTTTCAACCTCTTATCTAACTAAGTTAGAACCATTCCAAAAGCCTTACACCCTTTCAATTTCCTATAGAGCAGTGATGGCAAGCCTTTTAGAGATTGAGTGCCCAAACCGTAACCCAAAACCCACTTATTTATCTCAAAGTGCCAGGGCCGCATCAGCATTGTGGTGCGTTCGGAGGGGGGCAGCAGGGGGGCATGGCAGACTGGGTTGTCATGGCCGGGATGGGCGTGGCCACCTCCAGATTGCTCATGGGGGGATGCCTGTGGGGCTGGGCAAGATTGGGGGAGATCCAGGGGATCTCTGGTGGGTGGGACAGTGGGTAGCAGGCTCGTCCTGTGGGGTAAAGCAGGGGATAGGGCAGGGGTGCCATTGCTTCCGGGCAAGGCAAGGCGAGGCAGGGGCGGCTGCTGACACCATTGGCCCCCGCACACAGAGGCCAGCAAGTGCATGGGGGCATGCTCTACCACCTCTACTTGAGCTTGCTAGCCGGCTGCTTCGCCTCCTTTGTGGTGGGTGGGGCTGTTGCTCCGGGTGACAGCAGCGGCCTAATGGACCTGCGTGAGATGCTGGCAGCGGGTGTGCCCACAGAGAGGGCTCTGAGTGCTGCTTCTGGCATGCGTGCCATAGGTTTGCCATCACTGCTATAGAGCAAATCATTGCAACTGTTTGAGGCCCTACAAACCCTACTTGCAAGGCCAAATGGGTCTTAGAGCGGACTATACCATATTTTGTTTCAGATTAAAAGGGGAACAATTACACAGAGTAATTAATTTAACTTTATGTGGCAGGCATGGATGTGATTCAAGATCCCATATTACAACATAACATGGAATAACTTACGATTGGTTTACAACTACCTACTGTATTACAGCCAACCAGATGTTTGATTCCCTCAGTTTCAAAATGGAATGAAAACATAATTTCAACCTATATTTCATAATGAGCAAGCAGAATAGATACTAGGCTATTAAAAATTATATTGGCCCTCTGAAACATAAATCCTTTTATGCCCAACTATGTACAGTTCTGATATTATGTAACTTCGTTCAGATTTTCTGCCCTAGGCTTAGAAGGAAAACAATGTCATTTTGCCTAATAAAATCTCTCTCTTTTAGGGAAAGATCATGTTGACTGTGGAAATGCAAAAGATCCTGTCAAGATACTAGGAACAGTAATGTAAGTAGTTCAAAATTACAGGCTCATATGCATCAACATATCAATTCAATATGAGTAAACTGCCTGCCAGTTTACTTTGTGTCTAGATGGAGTTGAAATATTGGACAATGTAATGTATAAAGGTAAGAAAAACTCCAATACAAGGTCATGATTGCTCTCCTGGCATTTCCTCTGCTCCAAATTCTAGTACTTATTAAGAACACATTACCTGTGTGCTGCACAATTGTGCATTTCCCTATTACAACAGGGATTTTTGTTCCCTTTGAAGAATATAGATTTTTACGATTCAAAACAGTTTGGATGTGCAGTCCTATGCATACTTAATTGCTTTTTTTAATTCAATGGAACACATTTGAATGGATACATACAGCACTGTGCAAAAAGCTTTTGGGATGTTATCTACATTTTACACTATTACTGTTACTTAAGTCAATTTGTCCATGTGATTTTAAAACTTTTTATCTTCAAGGAACTTTTTCCATATTAGCACTGGTGAAGCACTAAAATTCAAACAGGGCATGTAAACTATGATTGGAGAATATGGGGCTAAGTGTGTGCTGGCTCTACCTTTACTTCTTGTGTGTCCACCTAAACCTATCCATCTCCAACCTCATTAAAAAACAAGATTTGGAAAGGATAATGGTTTCATTAGTTTTCATTTGAGTGTAGTAAAAGACCTGGATAAAATCTAGTCCATATCACCCAGGAGGTTTGAATTTTCTAGTGAAAAAATCAGTATGTACATATGTTTTGGCCTATGTTAACTTTGCTTAGCAATATGCACACTATTCTGAAGAACATAAGCAGAAAATTATGATTTTCTATATGTTGCTGAATCACAACTCCAGCAGTTCACTCAACAAAGCTGTAAGTGAAGAGATATTGAGAATTGTAGTTTATCAACATCAGAAAGGACACTGTTCCAAATCACAAAGGGGGGAAGGGGGAATGAATGATAAAACGTGCAGTCTTGACACAAATTACATCAAAAAACAGGATACAGATATATAAAGTGGATTATTCCCCGTATAGTCATTGCAAAGTGCCATCATTTTGATATAAACTGAGTTTGCAACAAATGCCAACCCTTCCTTTAAATATTGCCATTAATACTCATTATTATTACAAACAAGGTGGTCAGATAGTACAATACTTACTGGTAGAGATCATGACAAACTTTATAGGGGAAACCCTCATTCATAAGTGACATAATACAAGTCAGCTGAAAAGAACATCATCTAATAATCTGTAATGAAAGAAAGAACTTATGAATTATACAAAGTTTTTTCCTTCTGATGGGCTGTAGCGGAAATTGAGAAGGGTAATCAAATTCTTGCAAAAGTGAGCTTTAGTAATTAAATTTAGTAAATTCATTCAAAAATTTTATTTATTCCAATGTTCAAGATAGTTTTCAATAATAAACAACATCGTAAAAAAATGCAGTTAAAATCAAAGCCAAAATTAAATCCTATCATTATGAATAGTTGCTAAACAGTTAGTGAAAGAAGTTTTTCCCATCTTCCTAAACTGTGGCACCAAGTACACTGTTTTAGAAGTACATTCCATATTTCAATATGGGAAGACATATTCCCAGTTTCTCACTACCCAGGTTATATATTTAAGCTGTAAAGAAATTTAGGGTGTACACTAGTTCAGCCTTCTCCCATTGGTGCCCTTTTACACCTGTGCAAATATGCTATAATTCTCAAGTATAACTGCTTTTTGAGATTATTAAATTTCAACACATCAGATATGAAAATTAATGGTTTAATACTAACCAATTACTGTGAGGGGACACATTAAAAATATGTCACTGAACTATTCTCAACTGTGTTTTCTGATTCAAACTAACTGATCTCTACAAAAATGCTGCAATTTTTTCATCACAAATACAATAAAAATAAACACAACTGTAAGTAAATGGTAAACTGCTTAGAACTGTGTTTGGATTGAACAGCACATAAATTGTGCTGATACATTAAAAGAACAATGTATTTTAATATAACATGTATTTTAAAAGAGCAGAGACACATACATGCCTTTCACCTGCAAAATAAAATATTTGTGGAGGAGGGAAGAATACTAGCATCTTCTAGACAACAATGCAACAACCTCCAATTTGCAGAAATGGCTTCAGATGGCTTTCATGTTCAGGACTATTAGAAAAGAACAATAGTAGACCATTGTTTCACTAAGTTCTATATTTCATACATAGAGAGATGGGGGTTAAAGTGTGTTTAAAACTGAGGATGTATTTTCTAAATATTTCAAATATGTTTGCAATTGTGCAGTTAACAATTTTCAAAAGGAGATTACTATTCTTTCTACCCGTTTGCACAATCAAAACGAAAAGGGTGCAAGTTTGTTTTGTGCACTTCAATTCAGTTTTATAAATAAAGAGTTTACATTACTGTATTTTTTAGTAGCCGGAAGCAAAGAAAAACGGCACAGAGGGAGGAGGGGTTGATGCAATATTGCAGAGATCGCATGGAGGGGGTTCCTGTTCTTAAGCTCCCCTGGAGGAGGAGGAGCTCTACTCTGTGTGCCTGGCTTTGTGTTGAGCTGCTTACACAGAGCCACACGCTCCCACAGTCGCCCGTGTGACCCCATGGCCGCCTCTCCCTGCGCAAGACTTTGCCGGCCACGTGGCTGTCACAGCCTCAACCAAAATGGGGGAAGCCAAACTGGCGGAACTAAACAAATCGCAACCGATGACAAGGGAGGGGGAGGGGGAATCCTATTTTAAACTGGAAGAAATGCAACTTCCAAGAGCTAAGTTTTCTGCAATCTGGTCGAGAGATTTTTGCCGTACAACTTCGCACGGAAGAAAACTGACAAGCTTTTCCTTCCTCCCGCGTTGTTTTAAGGATATAACATTTCTGCAGTTGCTCAAGCATTTCCTTTCCCCCTCTCTATTATGACCGTCCGTAGAGGAAAGGAACAGCCACATGGCAGCGGTCTCCCACGAGAGCAACGCCAAGTCCAGGGGGAGAAGAAAGGTGGTATTTGCGACAGCCGAGCAGCCCGAAGGAGTCCCCAGAATCTTAAAGCCAATCCCTGATCGCGGAAAAGACTCGAGCCCTTCCCCACCGTCACCGAAACTCATCCCCCCCCCCCGCCTGCCTGCCTACTCTCGAAGCCGTAAAACTCTCCCCTCGATTAGACGTCGCAACGCCTCCGGAGTACAACTCGCAGCAGGTCCCTATCAATGCACAGACATTACCAGCTATTTCGAGGATATTGTTCTTCGATCAGCAAGCACAATCGTCTCCAGTAGTTCCCCTACATTCATAAAACAAGCCTTTCTAGCCTGTTCACATGCCTTTCTCGTTTAATTTCACTTCTCCCCGCGTCCCATTTGAGCCGTCGGGCAGACCGATTGCTCCCAGTGCAAATGCTAACTGCCAGACAACCGAAAGTCCTTCTTCCCCAACCTTTGGCCTCTGCAAAATTGGCTGGAAGAAGCCCTACTTCGAAGCTGGTGGAAAGCGACCCCTCTTTCTTTTAAGTCGCTCCTTTGAAATACTTAACCTTCTTCTCCTACTCCTCCCCCCAGCAAGAAGGCACAAAGCTCTGCCTTGGCCATGCAAATATTTTTCCTCCCAGATGAACAAATAGAGCCTCTGGAGGTACAAACTCCAATTTACACAGATCTTCGACTCTTCTAACATACGCTCGACCCGATCACCTTTTCCTCCCCATTTGCAGCTTTTGCTCGATTCCACCCATTGCCCGAATTAAACGTTTAGCCAGAGCGCGCGGAGACACGCAAGGACGCCAGCGGCGCAATTTAAGCCTCGGCGTTACCCAGCTCACATTGTGCAACTGAGGGAAGAAAAGCTCAGGCAGCGTCTTCCTCACACACATCTTAGCCCCACATCTGGAAATATTTATTTTAAAAAAGGAGGGGAAAGGAAAAAGAGAGAAAGACTAGCTAGAACTTAGCATTTAAAGATTTGGAAGTTACAAATAAATGGAAAGAACAGAAAATCCCAAATTAGGAGGGAAATGAAAGAAATATTTGATTCCCGCCCACTTTCCCCAGAAATAGTTAATAAAGGAAACATTCCAACTCACTGTACTCATGAAGCAGGCGCATGGGGGGGGGAGAGGATGGGGGCACAATATGGCAGCAGTAGCAGCAATATGGGAAATGTGTCACAGAACAGCAGCGTCGCCGCCTCTGGCTTTCCCTGCCCTGCGAAGCAGCAATAGCAGCGGCGGAGCCACCTCCTCCCTCTGTCTCCCCATAGCAACAAGGCGTCCGAGCCATTAACTCCTCCTTCTTCTCCTCTTCCCGCATGCTAACCTTCCTTGCTCACCGCCAACTTTCGCCTCCCTTTATTGTAAATGGGCCGATTCCTTTCCTCGCTTCTCCTAGGACAGAAGAGCCGAATCCATTCGAAAGGAAAAGGGTGGGCTGGTATTTTTTGTCGGGGTGGGGGGCGTTTAGTTAATGTTAATATCTGTAAATATGCACGCACAACCGGCATCCCGTGCTCCTCTGGAGAAAAAGAAAAAGGCATGGAATTCCTCTAGTTCCTCCACAGCTTGACCTTGAATCAGTTCATTCAGGGAACATCCTTAAAGTTTTGTCTATTACAAAAGTGGAATTAATCTATTATTGGAATTGACCATATTATCGAGAGAAGGAAGTAGAAGAGTTCAGTTATAAAAGCAAAAACATGACCATGGGCTGACTGTGGAACAGATCACAAATTGATCACATGCAAGTTCCAAGAAAGCCAACCAGTTTCCATGGCATGATCTTCACTATATATTCATCATTTGCAAGGAGAACATCAGGAAATCCTGAACTTTATTGATTGGGAACAAGAGAAACTATGAATAATCTTAAAGAAGATGTTAAGGAAGGATAAATGTGAAAGAGAGACAATGAAAGATGAAGGAACTGAAGAAAGCAAACTAGATGTCAGAACAAACAACAGAATTTTTGAAGAAAAGATGAGGTAGATAATTTGCTTAATGACTGATCGCTTAACAACCATTTGAAGTTACAACAGACATCCCTCCCCAAGCTATTTACCACATCCAGAGATCTGACAGTTGTATGCGCCCCACAGTCACATGACCACATATCAGGTGCTTGGCAACTAGCTCATCTTTACTGCCAGTTGCAGTTTTCTCAATCAGGTTATTGGGATTTATAATTTTTTTTTCGGTTTCCAGCAAAAAATACCCACAGGAATATATGGATTTGCTTAATGACTGGTGTATTCACTTAACGACTGCTGGGTTCACTTAATGACTGCCATATTTGCTTAACAGTTGCTGCAAAAAAATTAAAAATCAAGTTTGGTCACATGGGTGCCTTGAGTTACGATTTACAGCCTTCATTACTTACTATGGAAATTCAGACTCCATTCCGTCTTGAGGACTACCTTTAACAACTGATTCAAGGAAGATCAAACAAGGACTAAAGGAATGTAGTGAAATTATGTATACTAGAGATATTAACATCCAAGATATCCCAGAAAATGTGTCCTGCTTATCTGAATGTCTAATGCTAGAAAATGAAATTAGATCAGTACTTCGCTCATTACTCAACTGGAAGGCTATAGGAATTGATGAAATATATAAAAATATGTCAAGCAACTGAACAACAAACTGTAAAGGATCTAACAACCTATGTCATCATACACAGTTATTTGCTCTATGTTATCCTGTACTTTCAGCTTTCCAAGAGCATTGCATTTGTTCAGGTCAATATATGATACTGTTTGTTTACATTCTTATATGTATGATACAAGATTTCAGAAACAGCCTTCTATATTTAAACACGGGGGCAATAAAATAAAAGTACAAGAAATGACACAACCAGTATATTCACAGCATTTGAGATTACTGTTCTATTATATACCGAAGAGAAGGTACAGTATCAGTTTTCCAGTCAGATTGTGTTTAAACTTAATTTTAGTCTTTATGAGGTATCGTACAGATCCAGTACTACAAGTATATTAAATCTATCAATGATGGGGTGGGGGAGAAGAAATTTCAGCATGGGAACCTATCATTGCTTTAGATGAAATAAAAGTTTGATATGAACTATGTGATTAGAATTGGTCACCTAGTTTTAAAAATGTGAGTAGTGCTGTGGGATACTTGCACATTATATTTCTGTTGACATGGCTGCTTCCAAGTTACCAAGACCATGATTATACTAATAATGTTCTTCCAAAGTCATACTTATGTAAAAGAACTATATAAATTTATATAAACTAAATAAATAATATTCCCTCTATTTATTTGCAAGTATATGTCAACCTTCACTGTTGACAATGATTAAAACTAAGTTAAATAGATAAATCAACACAATACACTGTATCAAAACAGTCACTACCAGCAAGTAAACTATCCTAGTCATAAAAATCACAAAACCCAATGACAATCAACCTCAAAAATCAAATAACAATGTCTGAACAGCCTTGAAAAAAAAATTCAGTAACAATGGTGCCATACTCACCTTGGGGACAAAGAATGCTAAAAGAATGGGGTTCATTCAAGAGTAGTAAGTCCTTTAGGTCTGTGTTCCCTGATTTCTTTCAGGGACTGCACCTTGTATGTCTCTTACCTAGGCTGAGCAGGTTTTACCTGGAATGAACAGTCCCTAAATTATCCTGGAGTGAAATGTTTTGAATGTAATTCTAACATGGATACAGAAAAATAGATGTCATATCACAATAGTGATTCTCCTCTGGCCACATTTTATACCAAGTGAAATTTCTGGACCACTTTCAAGGGTAGTTACTGTATTTACAGTGTATTTGACCTTACATCTAGTCCTTGTTTAGCATATTCCTTGTAGAGCAACTGTTCACAGTTACAATGGTAATTGTAACTTTGTAACAGTTCTCACATTTACAGCCTTTGCAACTCCATAAAGCAAAGGAAACCTGAAATACAGTAAGATCTTAAGCACAGCCATTAAAGTTGAGTTGCTAATCCAGTTGTGGTTGATAAATGAGAATTTTCCTTTAATCAAATTACATGTGATGAAGATAGGAGTTATTATTATCAGGGTTTCATGGTTGAAGTAGGATTATAAACTGGCAAATCAATCAGAATAGAGCTGGAAGCGACCTTAGAGGTTTTGTAGTCCAACCCACTGCTCAAGCAGGAGACCCTGTACCATCTCAGACAAGTGACTGTCCAGTCTCTTCTTTAAAACCTCCAGTGATGAAGCACCCACTACTTCCAACAACAAGCTTAGTCCACTGGTTAATTGTACTCACTATTAGGAAGTTTCTCCTTTATTCTGGGATGCTTCTCTCCTTGATTAGTTTCCATCCATTGTTTCTTGTCCTGCCTTCTGCTGCTTTGGAGAATAAGTTGACCCCATCATCTTTGTGGCAACCTTTCAAATACTGGAATACTGCTATCACATCACCCCTAGTCCTTCTTTTCTCTAAACTAGTCAAACCCAAATCCTGCAACCATTCTTCATATGTTTTAGTCTCCAGGCCTTTAATCATCTTAGTTGCTCTTCTTCACACTTTTTCCAAAATCTCAACATTTTTTTGTAACATGGTGACTAAAACTGGATGCAATATCTCAGCTGAACAAAGGCCATGGTTTCTGTTTGGTGTTTCAGAGAATGCATGAGTCTAAGAAGACACCAAGTTGCAGACTTGCTTCTTCATGTGAAAGGTGGCCCTATCTACAGCTAACCTTGGAATTGCCTCTGAGTTCGTTTCCAGATAGGCAGCAATTCAACCTTTGTAAAGAGTTAGTTTGAGCTGGTTTGTACAACCTCCACAGCCTCTGGACACTGAATCAGAACTTCCAAAACATCTCCAGCTCAGCCTTGGAAGTTATACATCAGGGGTGTCAAACTGGGCCGGATGCGTCATGCCGAAACTGCGCCCACCCCATTGCTGGCAATGGAAAAAAAGTCACAATACATCACGACATGTCACACTCTGGAACAGTATTCTGCCAGATATTAGATTGACCCCCACATTCTTTAGTTTTCAAAACGACATAAAGACCAGGGGGTTTTTTCAACAGAACTTTGGGACTTGATAACATTATCTTGTTCTTCCTTGCCAGGGAATGTCTAGATGTGTATTGTATTGTCAGTCTCTGAGGTATTTGGGATTATATATTTTTATGTTCCAATAGAAGAGAAATTAGAAATGGAAATCTGTTGAAAACAATCCACAGTAATTAAGTGCTCCATTACCAAAGTAACAACCCAAATTCCCACAAGAGAAGCCATGTAAGAACATTATTCAGATGAGAACTAATGCACTGCAGCAACCTGGAACATCAGAAAAAGGAAACAGATCACTTATACATCTTCCAACAAAATGGACACCCATACAACTTTATCAAAAAGTCCAGACCACTACATTTACTGCAGCAGAACAAACAGAAGCTATGAAAAGGATAATACTGTCATACATCAAAAACATCCCAGAAACAACCAACAGATTATTACAACCACATGGCATCACATACCGTACAATCAACCAAAGCCCTCCAAAACATGTTAACTAACCAAAATTTAACTGGGAAAATTGTGAGGATCCTAAACCAAGCCAATTAAAAAATGCTAGGAAACTCCTGGAAGTCTAGCATTCACACAAATCAGATTTCAATAGACACAGAGAAATAAACCATATTTATATAGCATTCAAAAGAGACAATAAAAAGCTAAGAAAGAAACAAGACTAGAATACATTTTCTCCAGCAGCCAACACCCAGATAAGAGAAATTAACACCAGACTATCAATCAAGCAGAAAACAATACCCTAATTAAGGAATTACCAAGGAGAAAACCATACCATTACCAACAGTGACAGGGCAAGCTACTGTATATAAACAGGGAGCAAACTCCATCCTCAATACTACTGATTATATTACCTAGTTGGATAATAAAATGTTTGCAAGCAAGCAACCAAGCTCAGAGAGCACTCATGATTCCGTAGTTTTATGGATCTATTTTATACAATTGTTGAACACAATTCAGGGTCTATACTTACTGGAGTGGCCTATCAATCCACTAAAATATCAGCATATAGATACCTTCCTGCAGACTAATAAATGGTTTTCCAGTAATTTAATTAAGATGTTAAAAAGCAATAGGAAGAAGCCTAAAACACAAGACATCCACATCCAAAGCACCCATGAGTGTGACTGCTCCTTCCTTACAACTATAGACAGGAAATACCACTACGGCAGGAGAGAAAGATCTGCAAAGGAGTAGAGTAGAGTAGAGTAGAAGAATTGGAAGGGACCTTTTAGGCCATCTAGTCCAATCCCCTGACCAAGCA